CACAGTCCGTAACAGCCCCTGTAGGTGGTAACATTCTGAGTCTTTACTCATGCTACACAGGGAACCAAGAACTGCCTCAGGTGAAGCAAATCAGAACCTGCCCCTCTCCAGAATCTTCTGCCTCTGCCCTGCAGCTCTGGAACAGGCCTCTGTCCAACAGGCCGTCTCAGTGGCAGGACCTGGCATGGGCTCCCTCTTCCAGCCTCTCGTCCCAGTTGCTTTCTTTCAGAAGGGCTGGGACTTGGGCCTGAAAAACCAATTCACTTTTCCTGCAACTTTCATCTAGCACCCTAAGCCTGAGTCTTGGAATTCACCAGAAACGTGCTATCCAATACTGTAGCAGCCATTAGCTGCATGCCACCACTGGACAACACCTTGAGTGTGGCCAGCACCACGAGTCAAGATAACATTTTGAATGCAATGACTCAAGGAAAACACATCAGTAAAATTGGCTCGGCCTCTTTTGAGTGTAGCTGCCGAAAAATTCTAAATGAGACTTGTGTTTTTCATCCACTTTCTACTGGACATCACTGCCCCCGAATAGGAATCTGTGCCCTTGAGGGCAGAGGCAGCCTCAACCGTGCGGGAGGGTCCAGGAGCCTCAGTCCGAACCACGGAACCGGAGACCGCCCAAATCTCAGGGCAGAGTTACCACTCGGTGAGATTCTGTCCACGTCCGCTTCACAGGCTCTTAGGGAATCTGAGCACTGACCCGTCTGAATAAGCGCTCCCAAGCTTTCAGGCAGGTACTGGCAGCTCCGGGTTTCAGGGAGGTCTGCTATCAGGAAGAGCAAGAGGCGGGGAGTCCAGCCCGCCCGGACGCGCCTTCTACCCTCTGACCTCCTAGCTTGTGCCCTGGGGTGTCCACCCGCGTGAAACCCCTGCACTCAAAAATAAAAATAAAACTCAAATGGCTCGTGCGTAACGACCAGCAGGGTCGCCGCGAGGGTTCCATGCGCGTCAAGGACGGGGACAGACAGGTGCCCCCGAGGACGACAGCCGCTTCCCTGCCACGCAGCGACGGCCGCGGGCGCCGGACGGCCCGTCGGACCAAGGACGACCCACTCGCTTCTCAGAACCTCCGCACGAGCGACGGCCGCCCCTCGGGTCCCCCGCCCATGCCCCGCCCCGCTGCGGTTGCGCCCGCCGCGCACGCGCAGAAGAGAGCGGCGGGGGGACCCCGCCCGAGGCTTCCTGTGACGGCCGGCGCCCGCCCCCGGCACGCAGGCCCGCCCGTCCCGAGGCCCCCGGGCCGCGCGGAGCCCCGACGCCGGCGCTCTCACCCCAGGTGCGCGGCCTCCGCTCCCGCGCGGACCTATGAACGCGGACGCGTGCCTTTCGGGACAAGAGGGCGGACGCTGGAGGGGCGGGCTGGACCTGCGCCTGCGCAGAGTGCGCGCCGGGGACCCTTCCCAGCGTGCTGCGCGGCAGGCCCCCGACGTCGGGAACTACCGTTCCCATAACCCCCTGCGTCCGGGGAGGCGTTTTCCCCTTTCAGCCGTGGGGCGGGTCCTGGCTGCCCAGGTGTGGCCCGGGTCCCCCGGGGTGAGGGCATCACGGCCCCCTGCGGTGCCTGGTTGGAGCCAGAAGCTGCAACAGACGCCAACAGCCGCAGAGACGTGAATAGGGACTGGAGGTTAGAAATGTCAAGAAAAGTCATTATGTTCTCAGTGTGATGTTGGGAGAGGTAGGAGATCGCTCTTATAGGCAAAAGATGCACCCCGAAGCATTTACCGTTACATCTTTGTAGTTTAAAGTGATATTTGTAAAGTAACTAAGAAAAACTATTAGAGAAAGTAAGTATATTAAAAAAAGTTAGTTAAAAAAAGTGAGGAATGGTTCATATGTGTGACATGTGCAAATGATGCTCGTTTTACTATTTTCTACTATTCTGATATTTTTCATCTACAGTAAAAGATGTGTAGGGCAACGTGGAAGAGGAGCAGTGAGGAGATTCTGCTATGCCTCCCATAGAATGCCTTTTAACCTCAAAGCTGCCAAGATAAATATCTGTACGTACAAATATCTCTTATTACTATGGCTGTGAATAGAACAAATACTAGATAATATAAAAGAGTGACATCTGTGACCAGCAGGGTTTATCTGAAGTGGAAAGGGAGGAAGCTAGATGATCAAAATTACAGGAGTAATGCATGAAAACACATACAAACCCCGAATAAGAACGTGATTAGAACATCAACCTTGCATTTCTTTTCTTTTCTTTCTTCCTTCCTTTCTTTCTTTTTTTTTTTTTTGAGATGGAGTCTCACTCTCTTGTCCAGGATGGAGGGCAGCGACACGCTCCCAGCCACTGCAATCTCAACATGCTGGGCTCAGGCGATCCTCCCCCCCTCAGCCTTCCAAGTAGCAGGTACTACAGGCACACACCACCATGGCTGGCTAATTTTTTTTTTAAATGTAGGGATTAGGTATTGCCAAGTTGCTCAGGCTGGTCTCCATCCTGCAGGCTCAGGCAATCCTTTCACCTCAGCCTCCCAAAGTGTTGGGATTATAAGTGTGAGCCACTGCACCCAGTCTACCTTGCATTTCTATGGAGAAAACTCCCTTGAAATTTGTGTGCGCACATCTGACTTTTCTACAAAAGGGGACATCTTAGTACAATTACATTGATTTTTTTAAATTGATAGACTTCTTAGAGTAGTTTTAGGTATACAGAAACGCTGAACAGAGTTCCTATATACCCTGTCTCATCAAGCCACATACAATTTTCCCTTTTATTAACAACTTGCATTAGTATCATATATTTTGTACAATTAATTAAGTCTGCAGTTTACATTACCTTTCACTCTTTCTGTTGTACGGTTCTATGTGTTTTTTCAAATGCATAATGTCACTTGGTGTGACTTCCACCAATACAATAATGTAACATCCACCATTCTAGTATCATACAAAATAATTCCACTGCCATAAAAATACCCTAGGCTCTATCTATCCATCTCCCTTCCTGAAATCCTGCCAATAACTCATCTTTTTACTGTCTCCATATTTTTTGTCTTTTCCAAAATGTTGTGTAGTTGGAATCACACAGTCTGTAACTTTTCAAACTGGCTTCCTTAATTTAGCACTATGTATTTAACCTTTCTCTGTGTCTTTTCATGGCTTGATAGCTTATTTCTTTCTATCTACATATTATTCTATGTATATACCAAGTTTATCCACTTAGCTATTGAAGTACATCTTGGTTATTTCCAAGTGTCTGCAATTATGAATAAAACTGCTATAACAATTTGTGTGCAGATAAGTTTTCATACCAGTTTGGTAAATATCAAGGAGCACAATTGTGGGATAGTATAGTGATAACCATATTCAGCTTTATAAAAAACCTGCCAACCTGTCTTCCAAAGTGACTGTATCATTTTGCATTCTCACCAGCAATGAACGAGTCTGTCAGTGATTTGGATTTTGGTCCTTTTAGTAGGTGTGTAGTGGCATCTCATTGTAAATCTCATAATTTTCAATTCTTATTTGATATATGCTGCCAGACTTCTTATATGCTTTATTTGCCATAAATGTGTCTTCTTTGACAAATTATCTAACTAACTCATTTTTATCATGTTTCTTATTTTCTTATTGTTGAATTTTAAGAGTTCTTTGTATGTTTTGGCTAAACTGTTTTTTATCAGATATATCTCTTGCAAGTATTTTCTCTGAATCTTTTGTTTTTCTTTTCATTCTTTTGATAGTCTTTCACTGAGCAGAAATTTTTAATTTTAACAGTCAAACTGATTCATTTGTTCTTTCATGGATAATGCTTTGGTGTTACCTAAAAACTCATTGCCAAACACAAGGACATGTAGATTTTCTCCTGTGTATTGTCTAGAAGTTTTTAGCTTTGTATTTTATATTTAGACCTGTGATCCATTTTAAGTTAATTTTTGTGAGAGGTATAAGATCTGCATCTACATGCCTTTTTTTTAAATTGTGGATGTCCAGTTGTTCCAGCATCATTAGTTGAAAGGTTATCATTGCTCTATTTTATTGTCTTTGTTCCTTTGTCAAAGATCAGATGCTTGTGTGGGCCTACTTCTGGGTTTTTCATTTCATTGCATTGATCAACAATTGTCAATTATTTCACCAGTACCACAATATCTTCATCACTGTAGCTTTATAGTAATTCTTGAAGTCAGATAGTGTCAGTCCTCTAAGTTTCTTCTTCTCAGTATTAAAATGGCTATTCTTGATCTTTGTATTTCCATGTAAACTTTACAATCAGTTTGTTGGTATAGACAGTATAACTTGCTGAGATTTTAATTAAGATTGTGTTGAATCCATTGATCAATTTGGAACAGACTGACATCTAAGCATGTTGAAGGTTCTTATCCTTTAACATGGTATATCTCCCCATTTGTTTAGTTGTTTCTTTCTTCAGAGTTTTATAGTTTTTCTTCTATAGATTTTGTATTGTTTTGTTAGATTTATACCTAAGTATTTCATTATTTTGGTGTTGATGTAAATGGTAGGTTTTTAATTTCAAATTCCAATTGTTCATTGTTGGCTTATAGGAATGCAAGTGGCTTTTTAATGACAATTTTAGATGCTTCAGCCTTGAAAACAATTACTTATTAGTTCCAGGAGGTTGTCTTGTTCTTGTCAATTCTTTGGGTTTTTCTACATAGACAATCATGTCATATGCCAAAAAAGAAAAAGGATAGTTTTATTTCTTCATTCCCAATTTGTTTGCTTTTTATTTTCTTTTTATATGTCATTCCATTAGCTAGGACTTTGAGTATGATATTGAATAGGCATGTGGTGAGAGGTATAGCCTTCCCTTTTGCTCTATATCGGGGAAAGGCATTTAATTTCTCAGCATTAAGTATGATGTTAACTGTTGGTTTTCTGTAGATGTTATTTATCAAGTTGAGGAGGTTCCCTCTTTTCCTTATTTGCTGAGAGTTGTAAGAAGATGTTAGACTTTGCCAAATGAATTTTCTGCATCTATTGATATGATCATATTGTTTTCTTTTCTAGGGTTGATGAGATGGATTATATTAATTTGTTTCCAATGTTGAAACAGCCTGACATACCTGAGATAAATCCTACTTGGTAGTATGTATAATTAATTTTATATATTGTTGAATTTTATTTGCTAATATTTTGTTGAGGAATTTTTAAATTCATATTAATGAAAAATATTGGTCTATAGTTTTCCTATCTTATAATTTCTATGTCTAGTTTTAGTCTTCACTCACTGCTGGCTTATAATATGAGCTAGAAAGTATTCAATATTTCCACCTTATTTTACTGAAAATATTGTAACAAATTTCTATCTTAAATGTTTGGTAGACTTCACCAGTGAATGGGCTTTGAGCCTTTAAAGGAAGGTTGTTAATTACTGTTTATTAGATACAGGCCTATTCAGATAGTCTATTTCTTCCTTGTGAGAGATTTGGTAGTTTGTGTCTTCTAAGAAATTGGTCTGTTTCATCTATGTTATCAAATTTGTAGGCATAGAATTGTTCATGGGATGCAGAATTTTATGTTAGTGGATTTTTTCTTTCTTTCTTTCTTTCTTTTTTTTTTTTGAGTTGGAATCTCATGCTGTCGCCGAGACCAGAGTGTAGTGGCTGCTCCTGGCCACCGCAGCCTCCCCCTGCTGGACTCCCGCGATCCTTCAGACTCAGCCTTCCACGTAGCTGGAATTACAGGCGCACACTGCCATGCCTGGCTAGTTTTTGATTTATTGTAGAGATGAGGTCTCGCCAAGTTGGCCAGGCGGGTCTTGAACCTACAGGCTCAGGTAATCCACTCACCTCTGCCTCCCAAAGGCGTGGGATTATAGGCTGAGCCACCGAGCCCAGCTGATTTTTATTTTCAACAGTAAATATTTCATTCCACTGTTTTTTTCTTGAATAGTTTGTGAAGATAAGTTTTATGTAATTCTTACTCTTTCTCTCTCTATGATGCCCCAATTACTGACCTTCTTTCAAGATTTTCTCTTTGTTTTTAATTCTCTGCAGTTTGAATACTATATGTCTAGATATATAGTCTCTGGTATTTATCCTAAGTGTTCTTTTAGTTTCCTGATTTGTAGTTTGGTGCCTGTTATTAGTTTTGAAAAATTTTCAGCTATTTTTACTTCAAATATTTCTCTTGTTCTTGCTTCCTTCTCTTTTTGGTATTCCCATTAGGTGTGTGTTACACCTTTGTAAGTTATCTCACAGTCTTTAGTTATTCTGTCCCATCTTTAAAAAAAAATCTTTTATCTCTTTGCACTTAACTTTAAGGAGTTCATGTTGACATGTCTTTGAGTTCACCAATTCTTTCCTAGCTATGTCTAATCTATTGATGAGGTCATCAAAGCGTTATTCGTTTTTATTAGAGTGTTTTTATTTCTATTTCGATTCTTTTTTAGCATTGTCATCGCTCTGCTTATTACCCATCTGTTCTTGCATATTGTTTACTTTTTCCCTTAGAGTCCTTAGCCTATTAATCACAAGCATTTTAAACTTCAAGTCTGGTAATTCTAAAATCTTTGCCAATTCTGAATCTGGCTCTGATGCCCACTTTGTTTCACCCGATTGTTACTTTGCCTTTTAATGTAACTTTTATTGAAAGCTAAATATATCAGATAAAAAGAATCTGAAGTAGGTAGATCTTTTGTGTAAAGTTTAATGTTTATCTGGCCAAGAGTTAAGCTGTGTTTACTGTAACTGTGATATCAGGGGATAAAATTGCTTATAGTGTTCCTGTTTTTGTCCCCTGTTGTCTTTGGGTATTGATAGCCTCCAGAAATGGGATCTGAGGCTGGCAGTTCTTTTAGCTTTAACTCCTTGCTGTTTTACAAGAGCACTATTGCTACAGATTTAACAGGTCTCAGTCTTTTAGTGAATGGAAGTTACATATTTGTTTTCTCCGTATCAAAGTCTAAAGGAGGCTGGACTTGGATGTTTCCCTTCCCCAGGTCATTTGAGCTTTGGCAAAACCCCATCAGAATTAATCTCTGGTAAAATCATTTCCTTTGAGGGTAGGTAGTCCTTGTTGAGGAGAAGAGAGTGCTCTGAGCATATTTCAAAATTGGCTACTTGTCCCCTCTATCCTGAGAAAAATAACTAAAGGACTTTTCTGTGATCTTCATAGTGAGAACCTGGTAGCGATGTTGCAAATAAAACTCTGAAAAGTGTGGGGACTCTCCAAGACTGGGCTTCTTCAGAGTTTTAAACTCTAAAGCTTGTCCACGCTGAGCCTCTAGCAATTCGAGAATTGAATTTAAAGAATTGCTACCAACACTGACTTCAGCTGTGGGCATCTGCCTTTTTGCATC